ATGTTTGTACACTTTCGACATCCTATACAAACATGTTAATTATAATTACTGAAACAGCGGCCTCAAAGCTATTACGAAGTACAAAGTACAAAGGTACGTTTCACTTTGATTTCTTCTCATAAATAAAATTGAGAAAAGAAACGTCAGCGCAATATATACGAAATGCTTCTCCTGTAATTGACATTGCGGCAAATTAATTTTCTCGACGTCTAGCTACGAAAAAAAATACGGACTGTTTTGATTGATGCACACGCGCGGCAAAGTGCAGCGCGAACGAGCGAGCGAGCGCAGAGCGTTCGCGCGTCTTGGATGTGTACTTTATGGAAATAAGTAAACGGTCGCGAGAGCGTTGCAGCTTGGCTTTACGGCTTTGCTTGGCCGAGCCGCGCGGCCGACTAATGCAACGAGAGAGAGAGGAGAGAGAGAGAGAGAGAGAGAGAGAGAGAGCAGGCAATTCCGTTTCAATAAACTTCTTCTGCCTCCAGCAATGCTTACTACGACGCACGCCGCCGTCGAGGAGGTTTCGGTTTGATTTTTGAGGCGCGAACAGAAATACACGCCAGCGAGCGCGGTTTACGCGGTTTCAGCGCCGCGATTTCGACACAAGTCGAAAGCTGATGATCGGTCGACCTCGGGAACGGCTATGATTGCCGTACAAAATCAAATTGCGTGCGGCTAATCGAGCGAAATCCCTTATCCCCGGCCGTTGTTACGAAAATCCTCCAATTTTCGTAACGCCATTATCGGGATATCTCAACAGTGTCGGTTAGGGCAATGAGATCTGTCTTTATAATCGCGCGATTGCTGAGAAACACTCGATTAAACGCTCGATGAAATGGCTTGACAGATGGATTCTGCGAATCGATTCGAGACATTTAAGATGTCATCGATTGCAATTCTCAGCGGAAAAACTTTTAACGCTTGTTTTGAAATAGTTCCTTACATTCCTTTTTCTTGCAATATATATCATATTCAATCTGCTGCTCTACTGAAAATAGTCTCAAGCTCGTAGTTGATTTTTCCTGTAAAACACTGCGATCAAAGTTTCCCCAAGTTTTAAGTTCCACATGAAACTTTATGCTAACAAGCGAACCTTGCTGTTAAACTGTTAAATTTTGATTTTAATGAAACTTTGTACACTTATAGGTTACGTAAATAGATGAATTTAGAAAATATTAGTTGGTGCTGAAAATTGAAGGGATGAAAATCACCTCTTATATGTAAAGCAGTTAGCAGTTTTCAGTTTTTTTTTTCATTTTATCTCGAAAACTGTTTAAGATATTAAAAAATATTTTATATAAAAGTTTTACAGTAAAATTACCTCTATTTGCGTTAATAGTATTTTTTAAAAATAATTATTTTCAAATATTTTTTAGAAAATAGTTATTTTCAAAAAATATTTGCGTTTAAATGAATAGAGGTAATTTTACCGTACAACTTTTGTATAAAACATTTTTTAATATCTTGAACAGTTTTCAAGATATAATGAAAAAACTGAAATCTGCTTTATATATAAGAGGTGATTTTACAATCAAACCATTTTTGCACCAACTGATATTTTCTAAATTCATCTATTTACGTAATCTATAAAGGTATAAAGTTTCATTAAAATCAGAATTTAACACTTTGCAAGGTTCCCTTGTAAATGTTTTACTGGGCGCCAGTTTTTAGTTAAAAATTTGAATGACGACGGTAAATATAAGAGACGTAAAAGACGGGTCAATCATTTTAAACTGAAATATTTTGATATTTTTGGGAATGGCATTTAATTAGTAACAGGAAAGGTGCCGTTATTTTTATATAAATATTTTTTTCTTGCATTCGAGCAATTCGAATCCATTAATAGATTTTATGGTTCGGGCGGATTTACATAACTGCTGCTCCTGTCTTTTTTGTCCATAATTGTACGACATTGTGCACAATTTCGAATTCATCGCGTCGATCAAGCACGGAACCGAACGGACGGAAATCTACCCATTACTGGATGTACGCGATGTCTGGCGACGCTCCAACCAATCGTTGGAAACACGAATTTATTTTGATCGGTTGCAAAGCTCATTCACCCCCGTTCGATACTCGGTGCTCCACCTACCGGTGGATTAATCCCCCCTTGCCTCCCCTTTTCTCCCCGTCTATCAGAAATCGACCCGAATCAAACTTTACGTCCAACCGCGCCTTTATCCCTGAGCTCCATCACTTAATTGTCATGTTTACCTCCCACACCTCCTCCCCCTCCCCATTCTAGTTTTATATAAGCATTATCGAGACATTTTTAAAATGCCAAGGACCCAGCTGGCTTATTCGCATTCCGCTTCTTTTTATAGCTTCAATTAATTACAGGAAGTGAAACTTCATCGAGACACTTGATACATCGTTATTCTCTCGCGTGTAAAATTGGATAGAAAACGATTCCTGAAATACACACACATTTCGAAAGAGCGTATGCGTTTTTGAAGTCGATGAAGTTTTTCGAAGTTTTCTCTTTCGGCGCGAGAAGACTTTTTTTCATTTTCGTCTCCCTCATTGTTTTCCTTTGTCGGATTCGTCGCCGTGCTCCCGACAATGAGCCGGTATTGGGCCGCGAAATTGGCAGCGAGGATATTAAATCCCGCCAGATTTATGGCAGCGTCTCAGCGAGGAGGATAAGCTATCGCCCTTCGACGGAAGTTCATTGGCCAATGTATACGCCTCGCTGTTTTACCGCCGCGAACAAAAAGAGAGAGACTCGAGAAATTAAAACTTCACACGCTCGCGTGATCCGTTCTCCAATCGTTCGTTATAATAGCTCGAAGGCGATTACACGCTCGCCGTCTCTAAACGTTCCAAAGTTTCTCGAGTAGCCGCCAAGGCTATTTCCGTAATGACACGCGGATAAATCGCGACGTTAATTTAGCGATGAATAATCGCGCGACTATATGAGAAAAATGGAGATTAAGGAATCGGCAGGTGATAATATAAATGATAAAGCGCTTTTGCGTCAACGCGAAATAAAAGTTGATGGGACGGCGAGAAGCGCGTTCAAGAATAAATTTTAATATTTGTTTTGTAAGTAGTCGCTTTGCATAATAACTCCTCGAGGCTTTTTTTTTTTACAATGTTGCGCGATCGCGAAATTAAAAGTCCGCGCCGCCGCGGCTGATCGGTTCGACGACTCCGATTGTACAATTTAGATGTCAGTGCTCTTGGTATCTCTGTGGTGACCAGTCCTCCCTTGAGATACTATTGCGTAAATAAGAAATTCATGGTAGGAACGGCGCGGCGAACTCAATTATTTGTTCGCCAAGTTAGAAAGGCGCCCATCGAGAAGCGAAAAATCGATGTTTACCGACGATATATAAATACGATTAATCATCGATAAAACTGACATAAAAATTACAAAATCTTGCAGTGGATCGAAGTAGACCATTTCGATTATTTCTGATGACAAAGTAATTTCGATGTCAATCATTCGATCATCAGCTGTAGGCTGTTAGAAAAAAATGCGATAGGCGAGCGTGGGTTTATAAAATGCTTCTATTATTATTAGTAAAATTGATTTTTAATTTAAAGATGAGATATTTACATTTTCATCTTTTAGAGCATAACAACTACCTTTTAGAACCGAATAATAAATCGGCCCGAAAGCATAAAGGCGAAATGTATAAAATTCTCAAAAATTATTATAAGATCTCGCTCGATAATCGAAAATATCAATTAATATTAAACCTCTAATGTCATGCGTTAAAGGTAAACGTGAAATATTTTATCCTTTTTCCTTATATTTTCCCCATGTTCTTCCTTATATATTATATATATTTTTTTTTTGTAAGACAGAATTAACCGAGATATCACATTATTTTTTCCTGTGTGTATTTCTTAGTATAGATCGCGCGTGTGAAAATAAATCGTCGCAAGAAATATCACCGTGGAGAAATACACACGCGCACCCCGAGAAACGCGCTCTTGACGCACACGCCCTTTAACGTTATCTCTTCAAGAGTCATCGATTACGTTCTTGTTATCTCCCAGGCACGTCGCTCGCTTTCCAGCGAGTGCCCCTTTTCAATCGCCTGGTCACTCTCGAGCCAGTTTGACTGAAATAGCCGCTACCGAGTGTGCAGGCGATCGGGTTGCGTCGCGCGGTGCATCCATCGCGAAGCAATTGACCGCGATGCTGCGTGATGATACTGGCAGTTTATGATGCCCGATTTGACTCGATACACCGTGACTGAGTCTGACGGTTCTTCTTCTTCTTTTTTTTTTTTCATCATCAGGCATTTGCAAGCACTCGATGCTTATGACGCGTCAGCCCGAGACTCCGGGTTTAAATTAACGTTTCGAATTCTCCGTCAGTCGAACGATTGTCAGATTATCGAGCCTCGTCGCGACTCGTGCGTAGCGTATAGTATCCGGTTCGCGATATTTCGCTGGACCGGTTTTTAAAAGATGCCGCCTGGAGAACAGGAGGAGGCCCGGTCGTCCGCGCGTCGAAAAGTCACACCGTAGCATGTAAAATCTTACGTCACGTGTAAATCAGACGTAGTATCTCCTCGGCTAGTGTAATATTTATGAAGGTTAATTAGTCGTTTCGATATTTCATCCGAATTCGGCAAAAAAGTATATCCTACATATGTATAATAAGAAGAAAGTACGCGCGATTTTAATTATTTACTGACTCTTGCGGCATGTAAAATGAACTCTCTCGTGGCCTAAACGCCCACGTGCTTTCGCGTGTGACACGTACGCGTCGCTGATTATTTGGATAATTGAGGAGGAAAGAGGTGCGCATTTGTACTTTGTCAAATTGGCCATTATCTCTCCGGTATCGGTGGAGGCAGCTTTGTCATTCGAGCCTGTGCGAGCCTGTGCTCTTCATGATCGTGCTGGCGCGCCGGGTCGAGCTGTATCGATGACACGACGAGCTATATATGTATAACGGGCTGTAATTCCGTCGTTTTACATATTGATCAATCTCGTCGTAATGTAGGCGCGGCGGCGGTGACGGGAGATCGGGATTTCGAGTCGTCGAGCACGCTAATATATTCCCCGCGAAACGCGCCGAGCACATTTTCGATAGATTTACGTCGACGGCGACGCTTGATGGAATAACTGATCGGGTTTTGCCGCCGCCCGACCCGGAATCTCTCCGGAAATTTCAGGGATCTCCGCGGATCCCCCCGGGAGTTTTCGAACGAGAAATATCTTTACGCGACTACACACATTCGCTTACAATTTTCCCTACTGCACCTTTTATCGGTCCCTCAGAAAGGAATCCATCTCCCACGTCACCGTAGAGCACGATAAATGCTATTGCTAAATGAGAAAAATCGATCCTTTCTGTTTCAGCGTTCGGAGCGTCATGCACAGATATCTGGAGAAGAATAACGAAGTAAACTTCGACACAATATTTAATCAAATGTTAGGTGAGTAAGCTATCGCTCCGATAATCCGACCTTTTCGTTCGCCACTCTCGCGTAACCTCCTCTCTTTGATGGGATCAAAGACAAAGGGAGATTTAGATTTAGTTCGTAAATTCGCCCAACTCGCCCAATTTAATTGTGCAGCGAGGAAAACCTTCTCTCAACGTGCGTGTTTTTATCTCTCTGTTCTGAGTTTGATCAAATTATATATGTATAGACTTTAGATATCTGTATAAAGTGTCTCTCTCTTTCCCTCTCTTTCTCTCCAAACGACGCAATCACACAAAATGCATGCGTATATATTATTCATATAGATAAACAAATGCGGCTATTGTGCCGATTAATTCTCGCAACTTGTTTCGCGCCGTGAATTCCGGAGATTTATAACGTAACGCGGCAACGTGAGCGTAAATATTCGTCCATGCAAAAAATCATCCCCCCGAGATAATCGACAGTCTCGTTTATGAATTGCTAATTAAGTGTTCCGTCGCTCGTAAAGCATTATTTTGACACGATATTAGATTCGAGCAATTAAATTAAATTGTTATCTCACGAATTAATCATCAGATTGAATAATATACATTCGATTCCTCGCCGTAGAACGAAACGTGTGTGATTTGGTCGCCGGCCTGAGATGACCTGGAAAAACCTGGTCCCTTTGGCGGGACCGCGCCAATTTACACGGACGATTCGTCTCTCTGTCGCCAGTTATTGTTATTCTTTTTTTTTTTGCGAGAGTAGAGAAACGGCGTTAAATGATAGCTGTGACAATTTACTGAAAGTTCGCCGATGTCAAGCAAACTCCACATGTACTTCCAGGTTACCTTTTATTCAAAGACTTCTGCGAGACTGTAGCGGAGGAACCGATTCCGCAACTTAGGTTTTACGAAGAGGTTCGTGTTTTTTAGCCCGCATACACTATATATGTATATATATAGTTAAATTTCAGTAGCGTCGCATATACCGCCCACCGCCGGCACTCGACTGCATAAAAGAATTTTGTATTTGTGCATTTGTAGATCAAGGCGTACGAGAAGCTCGAGTGCCCGGAGGAGAGGAGAAAACTTGCCCGTGAGATCTACGACAATTATATTATGAAAGAGTTACTGTCGCATTCTCACGTGAGTATATATACTGACACGACGTCGAATTCCATTTCTTCCCGTAATATAATATTTGAAAAAGAATTTTCTTCCCCCCCCCCCTCCCCTCCTCTTCCTCTTCTTGTGCATTTGATTTTTTAATGCACATCGACGTGTCTATCTTTTTGCAGGAATATTCGCAAGAGGCGGTATCTCACGTGCACAAGTATCTCATGAAAAATGAAGTCCCAGTTAACTTGTTCGAGGTAGGTCATTGTCTTGTGACCTTATCTATACGCGATTGCGCGTATGCGATCGATATTGTTCGTGACTCAAGAAATTTCTTCCTCCATTTTTTTTATTTTTATTTTTATTTCTCTTTGTTTATAGCCGTACATCGAGGAAATATTTAACCATCTGCGAGGGGAACCGTTTCAGAAATTTCTGGAAAGGTATAAAAAATGACATTCTGACAGTTCGCGAATAAATGAACCTGTAATTTACGACTAAAAGAGAAAAAATTGCGTATGTTTCTAGCGATAAGTACACCCGTTTCTGCCAGTGGAAAAACTTGGAGTTGAATATGCAGGTACAGATGAATTAATACTTTCCCATCTTTCTCTCCTTTCATTTTTCAAGGACGGAATTTTCGTGATTAAATTACCGCGCGTTTTATAACGGAAATTGCAGCTGACGATGAACGACTTCAGCGTGCATCGAATAATAGGCAGGGGCGGCTTCGGCGAGGTGTATGGTTGCCGGAAAGCGGACACCGGCAAGATGTATGCCATGAAATGTCTGGATAAAAAACGCGTTAAAATGAAGCAGGGTGAAACGTTAGCTCTCAACGAGAAGACGATGCTCTCACTAGTTAGCAAGGGGGTAAGGGACTTCTTTTCTCTCTCTCTCTCTCTCTCTCTCTCTCTCTTTCTCTTGTCAAAAACAATGCCTTCGCGTTTAATCAATCGCGGTGACGATGATACGACGTGACATGATAAAGCGTTGTCACTGCAGATGGACTGCCCATTCATAGTGTGCATGACGTATGCGTTTCAAACCGCCGATAAGCTGTGCTTCATATTGGATCTGATGAACGGCGGCGATCTGCATTACCACCTAAACCAGCACGGACTTTTTAACGAGGCGGAAGTGAAGTTTTACGCCGCGGAAATGATCCTCGGCCTGGAGCACATGCACCTCAGGCACATCGTCTACCGTGACCTGAAGCCCGCGAACATACTGCTGGACGAGCACGGTCACATCAGGATATCGGATCTGGGATTGGCAGTCGATTTCTCGAAGAAAAAGCCCCACGCGAGCGTGTACGTATATATACGTAGCTGAAATTCGATCGGACTTTCCGAACGTGTGTAACGCAATACGCTGAACTCTTGATTCTGTAACAGCGGCACACACGGGTACATGGCGCCGGAAGTAGTCTCCAAGAACACCTCGTACGATTCGAGCGCGGACTGGTTTTCCTTCGGTTGCGTGCTGTACAAGCTCTTGACGGGTCACAGTCCATTCAGACGGTTCAACACCAGGGATAAACAGGAGATAGACCGTATGACGCTGACTATGGTGCGTTGGGTGCGTTGCATTAATATTACCGATCGTTTGTTAAAATTGCATTGGATTGGAATAATATATCAAAAGTAAAAATTCACATAAATTTTTTTTGTCGAAATAAATTATATTTTTTGAGAATTGATAGATAATTGTAAATCTCTACAATCTTTGTAAGATTTCCTTCTGAGAAGCAAGGCATAAATTGAATTTTATCCTTTATTTATTAACGAAAAGGCAATTAAAAATTAATTTGTCTTGAGATGTAATTTAGCGCAAAAGAAAAAGATACATGGTTTTTCGCTTCTGACATCACAATCCGATGTACATACGATCGGAATACGTAAAGCGGCGTCTACAATGAGACGTAAGACTCAAAGATTTAAGAAAATTAGCCAATCATAGTTGATTATTCCAAGTCTCATTTTAGACCGCCGCTTGAGGTAATTTTGTGGACATCTTTTGAGAAGTTTGTACACATTAAGAATTGATTTATTATTAACTTTTTAAATCGATCGCAGAACGTCGAAATACCAGAAACGTATTCGCGGGAGATGCAGTCGCTAATAGAAGGTTTGCTACAACGAGACATCAGCAAAAGACTCGGCTGCCGTAGCAGCGGCGCGGAGGAGATAAAGGCGCACCCGTTTTTCAATGGTATCGATTGGCAGCAGGTGTATCTGCTGAAGTACACGCCGCCGTTAATACCGCCGCGCGGCGAGGTCAACGCCGCGGACGCCTTCGACATCGGCTCCTTCGACGAGGAGGACACGAAGGGAATCAAGCTAACGGACGCGGATCAAGAGCTGTACAAAGACTTTACTGTAGTCATCTCCGAAAGATGGCAGGCTGAGGTGGCCGAGACTGTATTCGAGACAATCAATAACGAAGCGGACAAGGTAAGAGATAAATATTTCATCTAATTGCCCATAATAACTTGATTATCGAGTATTTACTAGCATATAAATATTTCGCTTTGTTGTGTCCTCGTAGTTGGAAAATAAGAAGAAGGCGAAACAAAAGCAACGGTTTGATACAGATGAAAAGGGTAAGTGCAGCGCGTATCGTGCGGCTAGAGTTCTAGAATCTGAACGAAATTGTATAATTACAGCGTCGACCATTTATACTTGCAGGTTCGGACTGTATATTACACGGTTATATAAAGAAATTAGGAGGTCCATTCGCGAGCGCGTGGCAGACGCGCTACGCAAAATTATATCCAAATCGGTTAGAGTTACACCCGGAATCAGCGACTAAGCCTGAGCTCGTGTTTCTCGATCAAGTAAGTAAATGTAACCGAATAGAGCTATTGAAGGGGATAAGAAAATGTGATATTTTAAAAATGTCGTATATTTTATCCCATTATTTGACATGTGATATATGATATATTTGACATGTGTGATATATGATATATTTCATGTTTCTCACCTTATTTCGAGAAGGAGGATGACTTATGCGATGTAAAATGTCTTCAGGTCGAGGAAGTAATGGCGGACCTGCAACTCGTAAAAGGGGAACAATGCATCGTGATGCGTACGAAGGACGCGAAAATCGTACTTACAAATGCCGTAAGTGAATTCTCCAGTGTTTCTATTGACAGTACTTTGCGATGCAGCGCAATTAGGGCTCAAATGACTTTAACTGCATAGTTTAACTATATTCAAACAATTCAAAGTAGAAACGTTTGAATTTCAATGTCGGATTATTCGTACGGCGTTAATGAAAGGCATTAATCGGGGCTCTAGCGTAGAGAGCCTCGAAGGATCCGGATTTAAGATTCTCGGGCAGGGAGTTTGAGTCGTTTCGAACTATCTGATCGTTGAAAAGTTATAGCATCAAGTTCCGAGCGCTACTAATAATTGATAATTGATTCACCGTAGGACGAGATAAGCTTGAAAGAATGGGCGCTCTCGTTACGATCGGCACACAAATGCTCAATGGAGATGCTCGGGAATATGGCGAGGAAAGCAGGCAAGATCTACGGGACTGAGCGGGACGCAGTGATCCCAGCGACGCAGCGATCCACGAACGGCAACTAGCCCATTGTCGTCATGTGCGACGTCGCACCGTCATACTCCAGTCCCACTGCCCCGCAGCAGCAACAATTTTTTTTATACTAAATAAATAGTTGATGGAGAGAGCAGCGATGGACGGGAAGGAAGGAACGTGGCAACAGAGCGAGGAAACGTTTCTCTTCGGAATGGCAACGCAGGTAGTGCCTCTTACTTCCGAAAGCTTGCTCTGGACTTTAACGCTACGGCGTTGAAAAAAAAAAAGCGGCTAAATCCCCCTTTTTGGCACACCTCGATCAAACGGAACGTCCCAAAGAAAATTTCGTTATACGGCGGATAGCGCTGCGCTGTGTATTATAGAGACTCTAGCCAAGTAGTGTCGTATCGTGCGTACGTTCTCCCAGGGCCATGAGGATGATGCGCGCGCGCCCACACATATATACACACACACACACACGCACGCATACGCGAAAAAATACATACACACACGCCAACGCGGCTCCTTCTGGTCACTGGCGCGGGCGCGTAGGCATCTCGTTATATTTGTACATTAGTTATATGTGCAACATGTGACGTAGCGACTAGCGACCGACCGAGCGACGAACAAAAATTGAACAGATAACACACGGGAAACACGAACACACACTCACACATACATCCGGTAGTGTATTATTATGACCTAGTACTCTCTACACGATCCCCGTACTCTTATTACTTTCTACGCGTTTCGTCGTACCGCTCGTTTACTTAATTTATTTTTACTAGTGCAGAGAGAACAAGAGAGAGTGACCAGTTTTATATTATCTTTACGATGAAACAAAAGTGACCTATTATTTATTATGTTGTTAAATGCGAGAGAATGAGAGAAAAAAAAAACAAAAAGAAAAAATTCGTTTGTATATTAACCAAAGGTGAATCGAATACCGAATGCATGCAACATATGTACGCTCGAGTGGATATACGCGAGGTCCGCTCCGGCAATAAAATATGCGATGAACGTAGATGAGAAGAGCTTTCTTTTGTCCTGCATCATGTGTCAGTAGATCAACGCTAAAAATCGCAGTAAGTATTTATGATCTCCATTACATTATGTTCTCTGAGCAGATCATAATCTTTACGTAATCGTGATCGAACCATGTGCGAAATTTTAACAAAATGTTCGATTTAGCAGTTGTATGACAAAAGAATTACATATCAATGTCACGAATGAATTGATCCATGGTCCATTTTTTATACCGTAACAATTGAAATTTGGTACAATTATGAAAGGTAGATTTTATTTTGATATAATCATGTTTATTAATTAAATATTAAGTATCCTATAATAGTTTTCATTCGTGATTCACAAACAAATTAATACTCATAATTTATGTACGCGTGTTTGCTTGAAGTATCAAACTATTTAATATTTGCTGCGCACTTTTCGTCGAGCGAGAGAGAGAGAGAGAGAGAGAGAGGAAGAGAAAGAGAGAGATATATATAAATATAAATATATATATATATATATATATAGGGATCGTTTGTAGAACCGTGAAAAAATTTTATTTTCTAGGCTTACATCAAATAATTATAACGTATTAAATTCATCGTAAGATTTACACGATACGAACATTATAACTAGCGATCACTGTGATAAAAAAAAAGAGAGTGTGTATAATAAGAAACACGTTATATTTTATCTATCACGAATCTCCTTCAACAATAACGCCAACGTGGAATCCACCGACCCGGCTGACTTGAGTCTTCGTTCCAGAGCCTCGAAGTCCGTTCTCTCGAGCCACGTTGGCGGATCGCTCTCCCTCGACGGCAGAGGACACAGCAGCCTTTCGATAGCGGCGCACAATCCGCACCACTCCCTAAACCCCAGCGGCTGCGTTATGTCCCCTATCACAGACCTCATGTAAGATCGCTGCTCGTCCGTCAACGGCTTCCCGACCACTTCCCGAAGAGCCTCGTCGACGTCGCTCGGTGAGATGCGTCGCGCGCTGTGCAACGCTTCCTCGTTAAATTTATTAAATATTCGACCGAATATCAATTTCCTTCCCGACGTGACGTACGCGTGCTTGCTGAGGTACCGAAGTGACGTTAATCCTGTAAGTAACGATTACGTTGCCGTGAATGAATTCCAATCGATAAGATGAAATAGAGAGACAAGAAATATTATACGGCGTACAATGTATCATAAGTTCTAAAATACAGAAGCTTCAAGAAATAATAACGTCCTGCAGGAACATTCTGTTTAATTTTTTTTTGTTGCAGTAAAATCTCACATCTTGAAGTATCGATACGTATTCATAAATCGTAAGGACATACCACGAAGACTTTGACTGTCGAGCAATTCAAATCGCGCCGCTTGACGGGAGAATATCCGGGGAGCGTATTCCGCTGGTAGGCCGGCACTGGTTTGACGAGATCCGCGCAGAGCCGAGTCGCCTTTCACCCGTAAAGCTTCCTCCAAGGCGATACGTCTCTGAAACGAGACCGAATTGCTTGTAGAAAAAGATTTTTTTCTAGCCCAATTTAGGTCTCTTGCGTTTACCTTGATGGAAAATTCCGACTCCACCTTGTCGCGATCTAGCTCTCTGCACAAGTGCCTCAAGACGTCCGGTGCGAGGAAACTCGGAGGCATCGTGTGACTACTCGTTACCTGGGCGGATGTTTTCTTGGGAGACGCCGAGCCGTCGACCTCGCCGGTATTTACGTGAAGCCTGTTACGATTCATCAAAAGGGATCATTTTTTTTTTTTGTTCAACTCCCAGTCGACGCTACTCTCGTAGTGTCAATCAATATAGCATAATCGCGTGCAGATGCATATTTTATTTTTGTAGAGATACTGACGACGATCGCCGCGATCCGTCCCCGATCTGCGAGACCTGCGTTACCGTGGGCTCGAGCGGATCGCGAACTTCCGTTTGTTGGCCGTAAGTCGAGCCCCTCCTACACTTTCTTTTACGCAATCGCTTTCCCCGTCTTCGCGTGATTGCCGGTTGCTGCTCGCTGCCGCTGTCGGCCTCTTCCTCCGCGTTCCGGGACGAACTCTTTCACCGGTAAGCGACACAGTAATGTAATTTTTCAAGACGAAAAATCTTAGAGGAGAGGAAGGCTACATGCACACATGTAGCCCGCCTCCGGAAACGGAGCAGACTTACCGTCTCGCATTTTTCAGCGATGGGCGAGGGGGGTGACGGAGGAGGCGGCACGGGTGCCGCTAACGAATGCTGCGGCCGCGCGATCGGCTTGCAGACAAATATCTCACTTTTCCGTGGCGTCGGCGGTAGCTCGAGCGTAAGAGCGTGCCAGCTAAAGGTCTCGCTTTCCTAAAACCCGAACGAACTGTCAATAACACCTTCGCGAACGGATATCTCAAACAGCGAGAAACAAGAACTTCTATAATAGCTTGTTCGCTGTTCCAATGAAAGCGTTTGTGAACGTTGAAATTTTCCTTCAATATTATACAGATCTATTATTGGAATATTTGCTCTCGCCAACCATCAGTCATTTTTACAGCTAAATTAATTTGAATTGTCTCTTCAACATGCTATTGCATAAATTAGTTCATTAATTTAATTCTTTATATTCTACATCTGCATTCATTCCGTTTACATCCCGTTACTTTCATATTACAATAATTTTAACAATTTTCTTTCGCATATCGCTATTGGTGTGCTGTAGGCTTCTATATTATTCTAACTATAGAGCAATTATTTTTGCAATTACTATTCTTAGACCGCCTCATCGTTCCTCCTTTGACGAGGAAACTTGTCTTAGAGCGCACATTGAGTCAATTGAGCCTGCAAAGGCCGAAAGAAAGAGATGCCATCAGCGCGGCGATAAATCGTCGGGCCGAAATGGGGCTCTGAATCTGACACCGACCACCTGCTGGTTCTGCGAGCTCGTCCGGAGATCCAGGACCAGGGTGGTGCGCTCGCGCGGATTGCAGGTCGCCGGCATGTCCTCCTGGGCCGCGCGAGTACCAGTTACCGCCGACGGCCCGCTGGCGAGCGTGGGCGCCGGGGTCAAAGGTCGCGAGTCGGTTTCCGTGTATTTCCGGAAGAGCTCCTCGGGCACCGCCGAAGCGGTCATCTCGGCATTGTAACCATCGCCGCCGCCGCCGCCACCTCCGACATTTCCAGCCGCGGCCTCGCCACCGCCTCCGCCTGCGCCCACCGCCAACAGGCTCGTCCGTATCATCTCCATCTCCTCCGGCAGCAAAAGAGCTTTTCCCTCGGTCGCCTGATGAAAAATGTAGCATGAGAGATGCGCGCGAAAGCGTCGCTGGGTGACACGCGATAAGCGCGATAAGCCCGTAATTTGTGGGAGAGATGATTACGACTCATCAAATTTCTTCTCTATAGCCCGCCTAAAAATGCTTGCCTGATAGCTCCATTAATTATTGTATACTGCATTACGGTACGCAATGTAGGTGCAGAGACACATTACGTTCCGCATTACTCTTTAGAAATGTTATTCTTGTTCGTGTAACTTTAGACGTATTTTTTTTTTTTATAATGTCACACACGCATACGCCCATCTTCTCTCCCTTAACGTACCTACGGCGCACAGATGAATTTTTTACCCATGTGTCCTTAGCGCGTCGAACCACCTCCTTCGCCTCGCAATCCGCCGGATGGTTGCACAGCACCGAGCAGCCGTAAGGATAAGGATTAAAGAGGCCGGCGAACGGTCGAAGGGCGAACGGCGCCGCTTGGGTACAACCCGATAATTCCACGCTCTACGTATATATACCGTGATCTTTGAATAAATAAAGAGAAGGGCTGACGTAAGGGAACGGGGCGCACGTGCGGCGGGCGCGCGTCCGCCCCCGTTTTCGCTAATATATATTCTTTCCTCTTTATCTATACTTCATACCTTGGGCTTCGGTCTGCGAATCGGCCGGACTCGCGCGGACAGCAGGCCGGTCGCGCTCGCGATCCCGGGCATTCCGATCGCGGATCGTATATGCCGTTGACGTATACGTTAATCAGTTAGCACTTTGCGCGCGAATCGAGTTCCGCGCTCCGTCCGCTCGTTACTTACTGCCTTGATACCAACATCGGCACGTTGCTACGCGTGACCGATGGGTCGATCGGAGGAGAAGCTATACGCCTCGCATCCGTGGTTACGCGATCACGTACTCCGGCCACCCCCTCCGAGTACTTTGCCGCGGCATTCCGATAACGAATTCACGCCCCGTCTTCCGGGAGAAACTTAAATTTCCAAAAGAAATGTCGCGATATATATTCATGCAGGTCGCAAGTTAACGTCGTCGCGGGAACTTTTTATTGCGGGAGATTGTAATATCGGAGATAACGTTGTTGCGCAACTTTAGAATATTCGTCTTAAGGGAGATCGCAGGTGATTATTTGGTGATTATTTAACAAATTTATTATCTTACGATATAAATTTTTTTTTAAAACAATAGTCACTTAGATCTTCATCATCTCATCCAGCCATGGATTCTCCTGCATATGACCGGGGTACTTCTTCTTGTATTTCAGACCGGTGACGAGGGTGGAGCTCTTCGGGAACGCCGTCTTGCCGTTGAACAGCGTGTCGGTATCTGATGGCATTGGAGAAGAAAAAAGAAAATTATCACGCCGTTTTTATATACTTACACGCGCCGTAAAGACGGCGCCCGCCGGTTTCATAAAAATTCCGCGGGACGTCTCACCCGGATGGAATCGATGATAATCCTGTTGGATGTGCAAATTCTTGGGCAAATCTATTTTACCCAGCGCTTCGTACGGCGTCCTACTGTCCACCGGGGTCGAGTAGAACCGCTTCAGGTCCCCTGCGCACGCGAGATTCATGCTTATTTATTGTCGATTGATCGATTGCCGTGCGTCAGGTTGGCGCAAAAGGTCCGTCGTTTCTCATCATCGAAACCATCTCCGTGTTGAAAAAAAAAAAAAGAAAGTTTGAAAAAGAGGGCTTCTCGGAAGATGGATCTCTAAATAAATAAAAGGTGTACGAAAAGTTCGCCAATTTCGCCTCGATATTGCCCGAGGAATCTTTTTTTTTTTCGATTGACAAGTATGACGCACCTTTGACGCTCGATACGGGGGCGGGGGGGGGGAGGGCGAGAGAGAAACTTTTTTATTCGCTAACCGATACTCTCGATGGCGTGAAGCAGCGAGTTCGGGATGGAATATTTGAATTCCTTCTCGCAGGCGATGAACAGCTTAAAGCGAAGAGCGAGATCCTCGAGCTTCGCGTCGTCGTTCGCGGGGACGGCCTGACTTTCGCAGAGCCTGTCGATCCTCTCGGTCGTGTCCTCCGGGGGTTCGTAAGACTTCTGCGGCCTCAGAAATCTGAAAGCAGGAGTCCCGTGGACTTACGTCGATCGTGCTTGAAAATAATTCGGAGGGGGAGGGTGGGGCGCAACGCGAGATTCCGCGATGTAAAACAATCATCGAGCAGTTTGACGCCGTAAAAATAAATCTCTTCAAATCCCATGGTTTTCGCGATGACGTGCGATACCTGTTGAAAGGAAAAACCACGAAATGCGAGGAGTGAAAGGGAGGGAAACCGGGGTATCTTTTACTATTTATATCACTCGTCGTGAATGTCCTCGTCCATTTGATAATTTTTTCCCCTCACGCGAGTCATCGCGTTCGGGACGCGCGCCGAACTTTTCGTGTGTAGTCCGGGAAAGATCTCTCTCCTCCTCTCGCACGTGCGATGAAATTCGTGACGCGTGAGAGGAAAGGACAAAGGGTCCTGAAAGGGGAAACGGAGCAAGGGAGGGGAGGAGATCGATGCCCGCTGACCGTATGGTGCTGCCATCGCGCGTGCTCCTCTCTCTCTCTCTCTCCTTCTGTCTCTCTCATTGAACGGCGCTGAACATCGGAGCGTCCGGGTGCCCCGTGCCGAAACTCGCGAAACTCGGCGTGGCGGCAGCGGCGATGGTGACGGCAGCGGCGGCGGCGGCGGCTCGCATTCGTAAACAATAATCAATAATCAATCTCTCGGTGTCGCGGGCACTGCGCGACGCCGATTGCGGCCGCAATCGGTTGCCCGATTGAGCGTCCGACTCTCCGAGAGGGAGAATCGATCTCGCCGGTCGTTACGCACTTGCCGGAAATCATTCCGCCAGATTAATATCTGCCTGTTGCGAAAATGGAAAGATACGAGCGAGAACCTCTACCGCGATTACATATACACGCAACGAGTACATCGTGTATCTGCGGGAGTCGACGAACTCGACATACCGAACCGGAATCGTTTCTCGGAGCAGTTTCCCTCTACCCTCCGAACGAATTGCGACATTTCGCGTAGAAGTAAATCCAGATATTCCCTCCCCAACGCCCCTTCTTTGCCTGCCGCGTTACCCACCCATCTCGCGCTTTTGAAAAAAAAAAACTCGACGATCCGCGGAAATCGCACGTCAATTTTCGCTCGGTAAACCGCGACACGGCGGTTCCGTTGTGTCGGAGAAGGAAAAAAAAGCTCACGCGAAAGACGCGAACGTAAAGAAGCAGAAGGAGACACGAACAAAAAAAAACGTAAATAGCAAGCAAGTCGATCCGATCGCGGTCGAATATTCCTTCCTCTTCGTTTTCCTTTCCTTTTATATCTTTCCGATACGCTATGACTTTAAATCGCATAGATCGGACTTTAAAGTCGGAGCGTAGCGTCGCGGGAGCGGGGGAAGAGGGGGGGGGGGGGGAAGCAGGAAGAGAGAGAAGCGAGAACGCACGGCCCTGAGGACCTGTCAGATTCGCCGGGCGATTGGCCGACGCGCGGGGGGAGTGGTGGTAGGAACGGTTAATATGGCCGCGGTGTGGCCACCGTTAGTCAGGCAGCGCCGCGACGTAACGCGAATTTCACTGTACGGCTGCGCGACGCGAGGCGTTACGACGTGTCGGACGCGACCGCGCGCTTACCCGCGGGCGGCGAGCGATTCCCCGGCAGAGTCGATCCGCGTCTTCACCGTCACCTTGTTCCTCTCATCGCTCCTGTGCTGCCGGGCGACACCGCGACGCGCGGTCACCTGCGGGAAAAAATGACGGTCTCGTTATTAGTGACGCGTGTGACTCGCGCGCTGACACGCGAGTGCAATTAGACGCCCGATGGATGTGCGTGTGTGTGTGCGCCCGCGCGCGCCCCGAGATTATCCGTAGCTGACTACTGACCGTGCTGGTGGCGAGGATAGCCGATGTACTCTTAAACGCGCTGGCGAACGAGCCATGCCTGATGAGCGCCGCCATCTTTTCCACGCTCGTTGTCGTCGTCGTCGTCGCCGTCGCGGTGTCAATAGCGGCAGTGGAAGTAGTAATGGTGGTGGTGGTGGTGGTAGCGGCAGCAGCAGCACCAGCAGCGACGGTAGCCGTCGACGGCAACTAGAACTGCGGCAGTGAGCGTTAGGGGGCGCACCCGGCGGCTGCGCTTGTTGTTTCCCATCGCCGCCCGCCGCCATTTTACGGTCGCCATTGAGAAGTGAAAACCCTCCTAAATGTACGGGTCGAGTGAATAAAGCGCGGTGTTTGTCCGCCCCGCAGCGCGGAATTCTCGTGCGAGCGGGATAAGTTCGGCGTTCGGAGCCGCCGTTCGAGTGTTAGACTAAATGAGTGTACGGCGTACGATGGAGAAGCCATGACGCATCCATCGCATCAAACCAACGGCGCCAGCCTGGAGGACTGCCACACGAATTTCTTCGCACTGGTGAGTGGATCGTCCGCGTACTCGCGCGCGCGGACGCGCGCGCGCGCGCGCTCCCGACTCCGATTCCTGCCCGTCCCGATATGCCCAACGTTATCCGATTCGACTCCGAATTTCATCGCGCGACTCCGCGATTCGGCGAACGCGAGGCGATCGCTGGAGAACGGGAGCGAGGGCCCCCCCAAGGTGGCCGCCGCCGCCGCCGCCGCCGGCATCCCGCGACCCGTACATCACGTCAAGACGACGCGACGACGCGATTTCGAGCGAACGAGATTGTTCGCTCGCTCGTTTGTTTGTGAACGAACGAACGAGCGAGCGAAGCGAAGCGATGCGAATGTACGAATGAGCGAGCGAGCGAACGAATGAGAAAGAGAAAGAGAGAGAGCGAGAGAGATGGAGCGAGAGCGTACGACGACCACCGTCGCACCCCGAACGTTAACCTATATTCGCGGCGACGTCGCCGCGGCCGAGTGTCTCGCACTCGTTCACCGTTGTCGACGTCAATGTCAACGTCGTCATCGTCATTGCTGTTCGCTCGTGCTGGTGTTGTGTATCGCCAGAGTCCTTCCCCCTCCCCTCCTGCCTGCCCGTCCTCGCGACGGCCCCGTGCGTGCGTGCGTACGTGCGTACGTACGTGTGTGCGTACGTTAGTGAGATTTGAAGTTTTGTTGTGTCGAGCCAATGTCACGCCTGATTCACGTCAGACTCCGAAGTCTTACGGTACGTTGGATGAAACAGGGGGGGAAAAAAAGAGAGTTGACGTGCGTGTGGTGTGAGCGAGCGAGCGAGAAAGAAAGAGAGAAGGAGAAAGAGTGAGAGAGCAACGAGTGGGAGGTGCGAGGAGGGGAAGTGACCGCGAGAGGAGAGCGGAGAGAGAGGGCGAGAACACAAGCAGGCACGCCGTGTCCCGTAGTCTCTTTCCGTCTCCCTCTCTCTCTGTCTGTCTGTCTGTCTCTTTCTCTCTCGCTCGCTCGCTCTCTCTTTCTCGTCCTCGTAATATCGCGCTCGTGTACCTCCGGACGCACAGCGAGAGATACTCGATTCTCGGTATCGGTCGCGGCGGGTGTCTTTTCCGAGCCGCGAAAATTCCGCGAGGAAATCGCTCCGCCGCCGGTTCCCGCCTCCCGGACTCTTTTTCGCAAGCGCGCGAGAAGGAGAAGGAGGAGGAAACGGCAGCGGCGGCGATGCGAGAACGGATAGCGGAGATCTTTCTCTCTCTCTCTCCCTCTCTTTCTCTCGCGTAACATTCCTTTCGCCTCAGCGACTTGTCGCGAGGGAGACAACAACGTGCAGCGTCTCACGTCGCGTCGCGCCGTGCCGCGTCGCGCCGGCCGCCGTCGAATGAAAACTGTGTCAGGCGATTTTACGAAGTTCGCTTCTCCGAAGGCGAGATCGCGCGGCCGAGGCCTCGCCTCGCCTCGCCTCACCTCGCCTTGCTATATACAAGCACCGCGTTCGTTTTCGGCAGCCGCGCGATTATTTCCACGAAGACGCGGAATCGCGACGGGCGCATGCGAGATTGGTTGTTACGCGTTCTATCTACCTATCTGCGCGAGAGCGAGAGAAGGCTCTCTCTTCGTGCTTCTCTGTTTCAAGCGCTATTTCTCTCTCTTTCTAGCTCGTTCCATGCGCGCGTATGTGTGTGTGCGACCCGCACGCACTGCTGTGTGCCGACACAGGCTAACGGCGAGGCGGACGCATTTTTCTGCCGTTCGTTGCATCTCGCGTTCCCACAGAGTGCGGTTAAACGTCACTGCGAGCGGACGACGCGTCTTCGTTTGTTCGGAGCTCATCGCGGCACGTCGTCGTCGTGTCACGGTTTACATACATTGTGACCTCTCTCTCTCTCTCTCTCTCTCTCTCTCTCTCTCTTCCCTCCCTCCCTCCCTCTCTTTGTACGACAGAGTCGAGAATTCTCGGGCTCGGTTGAGACAGATGTCACTCGGAAGGGTCGCTCGGAAATTTTAAAAATTTCGAAACTAAAGAACGCCCCATGTACGTTTCTCGCCTAAATAGAGTAGTTGACAAAACAGACGACAGGTCTGCAGGTACGCTCCAAAACAACCGGGTATACTCTTTCCTTTCCCTCGGGGACGCCTCTCGACCATTCATTTTGTCCCTAGTCTGTGCGAATCCATAATTTATAAGATCGTAATTGATGTAAAGAAAGTATGTCAGTTCACAATGGACGAAACAATGGACGGAGTCAAGGGTGTGGAATGTGGACAAATGAAACGCGATTAAGCTCAACGTATCGTCAGTTAAGATTAACGTTTTATGAATAATTTGAAGATAAATTTTGTACGAAAAACAAGTAATATCGTTAAAACGCACATTCATAAAATTGTCAGAACCGAGAATCATACTTGCGCAATTTTTGATCCGTGGACACAATATTTTTTTAGAAACGGAATCTTTCATATTCGGCTTCGGGCGAAGAGCCCTCGAGAAATGCTTTTCGTACATTAATATAATCTGGAGAGAATACGTCACTTGTCGCAGAATTGAACTATACAGAATTGTCCGTCCGATTTTTTTTTCGTGTAGCGTGATTTGATGAAATAAGTCATTTATCGCCAGTTAAGAACATTTAGCGAGCGAGACGATCGCGATGAAATAACTAGCTCGATTCTTTTTGCGTGTCATTGATGGATCCCTGGCGCGCGACACGTGCCTTTTCATTTACTGACAGTTTATTACGCTCCGAAATCAACAGCACGCGGGCGCGCGATGATCTCTCGCTTTTCGGACGATCGTGGGTTTCCGAAAAAGGGAGGAAAAAAAAGAGAGGCACGTTCGCTTATTCGCATATTTCACATTCGCGAAACCTCCGCCCGTGTGACATGTACATTTTTATTTTACAATATATGTATGAAGGACCGACAGAGACCGTTAGTTTTATGCGGACGACCGGAGTTGCGCTTTAAACCGGCGCGCGTCTCGTTGCGAATTCCAACAAAGCGGCGGGAAGCTTTTGGAGCTTTATGAAAACCGCGCCCGCGAGCTAATTCGGCCCGTCGGCGAGGCAGCGAATGTATTTTATTCGATTAAACGCGATATGTAACGCATATACAAATTTATTGCAAAATCTCTAGCAAAGCTATTTGATTGCAATGGTAGCGCAGCCGGCTATTGACATCCCAATTATTTTCTTTATGCCGCACGAATATGCGCGATGGAATTAACACAATTTAATCAGACGCCAGTCGCAACTAATGACCCGAATAATTATATGGATAAAGGGAGAAGCGTTTATGAAAGGTTTCGTTGACAGACAGATCGTACGTTAAATCGTAAATGTAAACATTCTTTTCGGTCGTAACATTTTATTTTCAATTCTATATGCATCTTCTATGGTATCAACTCGAAACGGTAATAAATTCGATACTTTTCGCATTTTCAAGCAAATTAATTCACATGGATGGCTCGTGGAACGTGCGATTATATATATCATAGCTAATTAATATTTATACACGAGTGTCAGAAATCGATTTGCATAAAGTCACGACACATTTCTGAGTATCGAAACATAATTCATCGAAGACATTTGTAGAATTTGTTTAGAGTTTATTAAAATCTAATAGAAATTGAAAATTAAATGTACCCTCGACGACTCGATCGTCGCGTTTATCTCCGCTTTTATTCGCACGATATAAATACTTTTTTCCGACGGTTTTAAGTAAATAGCAAACGGCTGCATATATTATGATGTAGATGAACTGACGTAAGCGTGTAGAGAGTGCGACAAAATATGCGTAATCCTAATTAACGCATTATTAGCTCCTATAATTACTTAAGAAACCGCAGTCCTCCGTAGAATATCATTTCGAGGGACTATACTGTATCCTTTCGGGAATTAGGCTGGCGTAAACATCAGAATTGTCCGAAGATAAGCCTGACAGGTGCGAAACATGTAACGATTAAGCTTAATTAAGACGACGTGCAACACCGTCGTGATGTACACACGACTTTACAAGTCCCGCGCGCACACCGTCAAACATCGCGAAGAAATCGCTCATGGCAGTTTTTGTGCCTATACGGTCTCGTGTATTCGCGGTAAAACTCGAGCGGTGGTGGGCACGTAAGAATATTCTCATACAGTGGTACTCAATTTTTCGGGACGGCGAGACACTCCGCCGACGAGAAATGCGCCAATCACGCGCGTCTAATCGGATTAATTTAGAGTAACGGGGCATCACAACACGGAGATGACAATGTGGTCCATTATAGTTGACTCGGACAAGAATTTCAATTAAAAAAAAAATTGTGTCGCAGTAACTGCAGCATGCCAAAAGGCGTCGATAAAACGCGGAATTTGTTGAAACAAAAATTATATTTTCGAAAATAGAATATTTTATTTTCAATATTTATACATAGGCGGATCGTTGAAACGTTGAGTTCACATCAAACTACGGTAGAGACAACATCATTTAAAAAAAGTTAGCGAGCTGAAAATAAATAACTTTTGAATTTGTAAACTCGACACGTCCGAAAGCGAATTGTCGTGTATAAAAAAAAAACACCGTTGCTGTCGTTATTTAACAAAACATTTAATCCCCATAATCGTCGCGTGATTAACCAAGGTAAAATTTGCCATCGTTGGACCCGATCCGATCCAATCGGATACCCTTGACATAGC